GGCCGCCCTCTCCGGCCGCTGGGAAGAGCCCCGTTCCACCTGGCTCGGGGGCTCGCCGACTGGACCAAGAGCGTGGCTGTGGGTATCCCCCCCCGGAGGGGACGGAGCTGGAAACCCCCACCTGCATGCCGGGCGGGCGCGCGCTGTATGGAGCCCTTTCCGTGGAGCGCGAGGACCCGTCGTTGCTGGTTGGAGCTTGCAGAAGGCTTGCGGGCAACTGGGAGGCCGTCAAAATCTAAGGAAGAGGCGCTGGAAGTTTGGCTCACCCACCGGGAACGTCTTCACGGTGCTTAAAACGAGAAGGTCTCATAGGCAGGACGAGGGCAGCACAAGAAGGGGCACAAAGGCGTTGGCTGTAGCTGGTAGTCGGGACGTGCTGGTTGGCGGGGTACAACGCTATCCTGAAGCCTCTACGGCGTGTTCTAGCTCGCCCGCCGCGTCCGCCATGCCGAAACCTGCCTTTTCTCACAGGAGGTTTTATATGTGGTTAATTTTCACATTACTGGATTAAGGAACAAAAAAATCTACGGGGACAACTCTTTTGGATCTTTTGGTAGCAGCTCCTGCATTAAGCAGAGGTATAAAGCTAAGGTAGATGTCGCAGGGGACCGGCAGGATTTCCCCCCTCGCCGGCTGGAGGACGAGCCGGCGTGGGGCAAGGCGAAACAGGCAGGGGAGCGAGGTGAAGTAAAGACAGAGAGATCCTGATGAGACCGTGGGAGCCTCCTTGGAAAAAGTCTGCGCTGGGATTTGGGGACGCTTTGTGGCTGCAACCCTGGCGATGAGTGCTGCCAGGAGGTGCCGTTGCTCTGCTTGGCAAGGGGAAGGGCAATCGGTGTTGGAGAAGGCTTTGTGAGAAGGGTTGGTGGGCCAGCAGGACGAGGGACCAGACAGGGTGAGCCAGGGCCCCGGGGCCATGCCCGCTCGCGCAGCTCCGGCAGGGAGTGCCCCAGCCACCCCTCTGCTGAGGACCATCAGGGACCCTGATGAGGTCCCACCTCTCACAACCTCTCCTCCTGTGTTAGAGGCTCCAGCCCCTTCATCGCCTTTGCTGGACTCTCTCCAGCAGGTCCATGTCTCTCCTGCCCTGAGAAGCCCGGCACTGGGACCAGCACCCCAGGTGTGATGTCCCCAGTGCTGAGGGGCAGGATCACCTCCCTTGACCTGCTGGCTGTGCTCTGCCCAGTGCAGCCCAGGAAACCCTTGGCCTTCTTGGCCACAAGGGCACATTGCTGGCCCATGCTCAACTTGGTGTCTCTCAAGCCACCTCACTGCCCACCTATCCAGCCAGTACTTCATCAGCTTGTCTGTGAGGATATTCTGGGAGACTGTGTTAAAA